TCAACTCCCGTGGTGGGGGTGAGTAAAAAAACGTCCGCGGCTATTCACACGATGTGCAGTAGCACTGCACATTGTGTGAAAGTTCGATATAAGAGCGACAGAGCGACGATTATAGAGAGGACTAATGAAACGCAAGAGTGGGGGAAGTCATTCGTCGCCACTTTTTGCCTCACCCCCACTACCACTTTTACACCGAGTTGACTCTCCTGGTTCTAGTCTTCTTGGTTTACACCGTGCATTTAGACCGTGGCCCATACAATAGATGTCAGTGGCTACGATTATACAGTGCATTTAGGCCGCGACCTATTCAATAGATGTCCTTCTTTATCCTGTAAGTTAAACAAAGACACCTATCGTATAGATCGCGGACTAAGCGCAGCTACGGTGTAAACGTAGCCAAAGAGCTACAGGGCCCTACTTAAAAAATCAAGAAATTCAAGATTCTTGAATTCAAGACAAGAAATGCAATGTCAGAAATAGTCAAGACAAGAAGAACGAAAATTCTTGTCTCGAAAATCAAGACAAGACAAGAAATGCTCTTCAAGACAAGAAATCTTGTCTTGATGAAACACTATATACAATAAACTTGGGCATCTGTCAACATAACTCTATAGAAACATTAGTCGATTTGTGTCTGCATCATAAAGATATTCTCGATTGAAAATGTCAGTTTATGAGCCAAATTCTCGTCATTTGCGGGAGGTTTTAATTTTCTGCTTCAATATGAAGAAATCTGCGGCTGAGGCTCATCGAATGCTCTCAAATACTTATGGTGAGGCCGCTATTAGTGAACGAACGTGTTGTGAGTGGGTTCAACGCTTCAAGAACGGTGATTTTGACGTCGAAGACCGGCATAGCGGTGGAAGAGGGAAGGTTTTCGAAGATGCAGAATTGGAGACATTACTTGATAAAGAATCGTGTCAAAATCAAGAAAAATTAGCACGATCATTGAGAGTGACTCAACAAGCCATTTCGAAACGCCTCAAAGCCATAGAAATGATTCAGAAGCAAAGAAATTGAGTACGTGTTGAAGCCGAGAGATGTTGAACGGCGTTTGTTTGCTTGTGAACAGCTGCTTGAAAGGCAAAGACTCTGAAGGGATTTCTGCATCGCATTGTGACTAGGGACGATAAATGGGTTCATTATGATAACCCCCAGCGCAGAAAATCATGGGGAGTTTCCGGCCATGCTTCCACGTCGACGGCCAAACCAAATATTCACTCCTCCAAGGTCATGCTCTGTATTTGGTGGAACCAGCTCGGCGTAGTGTTATTATGAGCTGTCAAAACCGACTGAAACAATCACATGCGATCGGTATCGAACGCAATTGATGCGTTTGAGTCGAGCATTGAAAGACAAATGGCCGCAATACAACGAGAGACACGATAAAGTGATTTTGCAGCATGACAATGCTCCACTCCATGTTGCGAAAGGGGTCAAGACATATTTGGAAATGTTGAAATGGGAAGTCCTACCCCACCCGCCGTATTCTCCAGACGTTGCTCTGACTATCATTTGTTTCGATCAATCGCACACGGCCTGGCTGACCATCACTTCCGGTCTTATGAAGAAGTAAAAAATTGGATCGATTCGTGGATCGCCTCAAAAGATGATCATTTTTTTCGACACAGGATTCGTACGCTGCCCGAAAGATGGGAGAAAGTAGTGGCCAGCGATGGACAATACTTTGAATCATAAATGTATAACCAGTTTTTTACAATAAAGCCTCGAATTTCGGAAAAAGAACGGCCGAAGCAAAGTTGTACACATAATATGTGGCCAATTGTCATTAATGCAATCTATTGCTATGTTAATGGGGATGTCTCGCCCATTATAGCTGACCTGGTGATGCAGAGATTAGAACAAAGGGCATTGTTACAGTATGGCGAACTTCTTCCGTTTTATTATCGCTATGTCGATGATATTTGTACTGGTTTCTTGAAACCACAACTTTGTTGTGGTTTCTGTCTCTCAAATAGAACATATTTTGGAATGTTTTAATTTCTCTCATCCTAGATTGCAACACACAATTGAAATCGGTAACGATACTTTGAATTTTTTAGATATTACCATCGAAAAAGTTGATGATTCGTTAGAGTTTGACTGGTATCGTAAGTAGAGCTGTTCTAGTAGATTCCTTAATTTTTTTCTAACCATCCGATATCTCAAAAAAGAGGTACTATTATAGGACTAGTAGATAGGGTTTTGTTATTGTTGGATGAAAAGTACCACACAAATAATTTAAAATCGGTAATAATGATTTTAATTGATAACGACTACCCACTAAATTTCATTTTTGATACGATTAATGACAGAATTCAATACCATTTAAGGAAAAAAAACAGGCTTACTAGAACTTTCTAATACTGAAGATTCACTTGAAAGAACAGCTTGGTTTACGGTACCATACATACCATTCATCACGGAAAAATTCAATAGATTTAATAATAAAGACACAAAAGTATCGTTTTATAGCACAAATAAACTAAAAAAATTCATTAAAGCTCAAAAAGATCCTTGCCCACAATTTAACAAAAGTAATGTGATGTATAAAATCAATTGTAAAGATTGTGCGTCTTACGTTGGCCAGACCGGAAGACAACTTAAAACGAGAATCGCAGAACATTGCAATCATATTAATTGGAAAACTTCTAATGATTCAGTTATAACTGCACATAGGTTACAATTTAAACATGATTTTGATTGGGATAATATTTTAATTGTTGGCTAAGATCCGTGCTATAGTAAACGTTTAATTTCTGAAATGATTAATATCAAAAAGCAGAAGAATAGTTTAAATCTACAGACGGACACTATAGGTCTTCATATGTCATGTTTATCAATAATAAACTTTATGTGACTTTGCATCACCGGTTACTTCATTAAATTTTTCAGTCGTCGCTTGACTTTTGTCACGTTCACATGCGTTAAATTTGTCATCCAGTTTGCTTTAATATGTGATTGACGTACTTTCCATAAAAGTTCTTGACCATTATTGGACACACTTTTTAATTTTTATCATATATTGTGACTTCTCCGGTGAGTTTTACTTTGATTGACGATTTAAGGGTAATAAATTTGATGTTTTAGATTGTTTTCATTTTTTCACAGTTTGATTGAAATTTCAACATTCAGTCTACCAACTGTTTGGGAACAATTTTTGTCTATCGACGTACAATCCATCGGAGATCGCTAACTTAAATATTTGTATCATGGTTTTTTCTATTTACTCGTTTGCTGCGTTTTACGACTACATATTTTGCAAATTTGAGGATGACTCGATCAAGAAGCTGAAACATATAATTGTTAGACAATCGAGACATTATACCAGCGAGATATTGTAAGAATTGATATCGAGTTATATTATATGTTTTTATTTTACTTTTAAGTTTTGCCGACAAAATACTATTAAAGATCGACATCCTTATGGGAGTTCGCGTCCTTGTGAATATTCAAGTAATTAAGAGTTAAAAACTGATAATATGATACTAATTTTATGATTTGTTAGTTTAGTAGATGTATTTATGCATTTGTAATTCAATAATACTCGATTTTTCTTTAAAATTGAGATTTCAGTGTTATATCATCAAAGTTTGATTATCAATAAAGATGATAAAATTGTAGAGAAAAAATTGTGATTTATTTGCAATATATAGGATATTACAGCTTTACAAGTATGTATATTTATTTATAGAACATTTATATAATAAAAAATCATGAATTTAATAATGTATGCGCCAAATATTTATGTTAATAATAGCAAATTTGTATCAATTATCGGTAATGTCAGCGTTCTTGAATTACCTCCGGGCCCTTGGGGCCCTTTTTATACCGCCGAAAATTTGCCCACGGTTGACGGTCTTTAATAATATCTCGTCGGTGGTTTTACTTATTATTGACTCTTATATGCCCTTTACTTAATCTTTATTTTTATTTCATAACAAGGGTCTTTATACGTGTTTTAATTGTCGCTTGTTGCATTTCGATCTGGCGATATCGTTCGCGATTATTGTAGAATTCTCTACATTATCTTAACACTATTTCTAGTCCAACGATAATAAGCGCGTTTATTTTTCCATCATTCTTATTTTAGGTAGCAATTTAAACAAGCAAAAAAGAAAAACCAATAGTTCGTCTCTTGGCACTTACATATTAATGTAATTATTCCAGATAGCGTGTGTATTAAAACATATATTATTATAACAAAAAGAGTCAATAACAAAGTCATTATTAAATAATTAATTATGCATATATCATGCATAGTATTATTTTAAATTATGGAATATTTGAAATAATTTCATAACAGAATCTAATTGCTCGATATACTATTTATTAGATGTGCAAAATATATGCAATACTTTTTGATTTAAAAATTAAACGTGTTTAAAAAGTGATACAGTGCATTCCAGTTATATGTATAAAGTAATGATGATAATATAATTTAATAAATAAAATGTTTCATAACAATGCCTTTATGATGTCGATAATGGAAGTTATCCTTCTGTAAGAAAATTAACTCATCTATATATACGAAACTCTAGAAGTTATTAAATTATTGCTAAAGATCCATTATAATGGAACGTTTAACGTTCAGAGATATTCATAACTTACATAGTGCTTATTTCATTTTTCCTTTCGGACTGGTTCAGAGGTTTAGCCCCATACAAAGACCACCTGCACCTAAACTGTCTACTAATGATCCTAGTAAAGAGCAAACTAATTTCTGCAACATTCAAAGAAATTCTCTATAAGTAATGATAAATAATATTTTTTCTATTCTATTACTATTATAAGCATAATATAAATTACACAATCTTATTCATTTATTTATTTTAATAATGTTTAATCCAAAATATTTTTTAATTTTAATAAATAATTAGTGAAAAATTTTATAATTTGTTCAATTTATATTTAAAATTTTATAATTATTAAAATAATTATAAATTTCTAAAGTTTTTTATGGTATTAATCTTTGTATTCATGCCGAAAAATACAGATTTTAAACGTAACCTTCAAAGAAAATAGACTTTTAATACATATATCATATATCAATCATGGATTATTCAGAAAATGTAATTAATTCTCTTGTGTCAACTGATAGTATAATAAATCATTTTTGTCCATATGTACTTTTTATCTTTTTTCGAATATACATTTCTTGTATTTTAATAAAAATATAATTTTTTGTGTAATTTCTTTTTACATAATCTTTACCAAAACTTGTTGTATTATGTTTAAACTGCCACCACCACCGCCACTTGGACCACCACCACCGCCACTTGGACCACTACCACCGCCACTTGGACCACCACCACCGCCACTTGGACCACCACCACCGCCATTTGGACCGCCACCACCTCCATTTGGACCACCACTGCCTGCACCATTGCCACCGCCTGTACCATTGCCATCACCATTGCCTCCACCATTGCCAGCACCATTGCCACCACCATTACCACCATGACCACCATGAGAGGAGTCAGGAGGTTTTGGATGAGATGGTTCTTTCTTTAGATCAAGAGTCTGATAATTTAAAAAAAAAGTAAAAGACTGAATCAAATAAAATTTAATAATAGTTAACTTATATATATAAATATATATATACATACATACTTATATATAATTTCAAGCATAATATAAAGCAAAACTTATCAAATTTGTTAAATAAATAATAAATTCTAATTAATAACCCCTGCTCTAACATTTCCGTTTTGTAGACGAAGCATCTTAGAATTATCCAATATCTTAGTATTATATTTTTCGCTGCAATTGGAAGTTCTTGACTTGCCATTGTAATCATTGTCTTCAATGTACCATAAGCTTTATACAAAAGGTCATTATTTGCGATAATAAAACGGGAAAAAATATTATATACATATATGGATATATTTTATTTAATTATATATTTAATTGTACATAATTATGTATATATAAAAATGTCGATCTTTTTATATAATTATATAAAAATTTAGAGTGTTTCCAAATTTTGTATCAAGCGATCTTGTGTAGATAGAGCGGATTACATTGAGTCGAAAAGTCAATTTTGCAATTTTCGCAATAGTTAATAAGATATTAATTACTAAAAATCGCTGGATATATTGGTTCTCAATAATTTTTTACTCAAATACTATCAATTTTACAGAAAAGCAGCGAGAAAAAAAAATTGTTTATTTTCTTCTTATAAAGTTCTGAGAATTTTTCAGAATTTTTTCCGAATTTTCTAATAATGTATTTTCTCATAATGGTAAAAATAGTTACTAATAAGAAAATGCAGCACTAAAAAGTTAATAAAAAATTCTGAACAAATTCTTAGAGTTTTATGAGAAGAAAATAAATAATTTTTGGTCTCTTGCAATTTTTCTGTAAAGTTAATAATACTTAAGAAAAAAATTATTGAAGACCAATATTCGGCAATTTTTAGTAATTAATACACTACTCAATAAAATTAAAGGCTCACTTGTACCACCCTGCAAAAATAGGTAAATTTCGAGATAGAATAACTTCGTCAAAAATCATCGTATCGAGATTTTTAGAAAAGCATTCTAAAGCTTGAAACCTCTACTTTTCAAAAAATTACACAACATAAATGAAGATGCATCAGATCTCAAAATTTTTTACGAAATTTGCGAAATTCCACGGAGCCAAGTAAAAATTGTACACAAATGCGGTTTAAATCTTTCGAAAGAGTGAATCTTTACCTTCAATTTCTTTTTTTATGAAATTCGTACGATTTTTTTTTCACCGAGTTATTCAACGTCGAAGCAAAAATGGTTGTTTTTATTCAATGTTGAATAACTCGGTGAAAAAAAATCGTACAGAGGTCTATAAAAAAGCAAATTTGAAGGTAAAGATTTACGCTTTCGATTGCTGTAAACCACATTTTTGTGTGTTAAATCATATTTAATTATATATAAATATACATGAAATATTTTTTCCCAAGAAGTTAAAATGAATGGATGAATTATATTCTGAAGATATATTACAGTCCTAAACTCTAAATAGGAATCATATGTCTACTAAAATATTTATTTTTTAATAATTTCTCCATGTTTTTTAATTTATATAAAAGATATCTTTATACACTTTTCATGATATTATTTTCTTTTGTTAGATTGATTGCAATAATGAAAACTGTTTATAATAAAATTTCTTTAAAATTTATGTACCAATTTGTGGTGTGTACTCTTATAATATATTGATAAATACATACCGATTTTGCAAAAACGATTCCGATGAGGGTCAATAACAGAAGAACGTAGAATACCTTCATGGTTAAAAAATACGTCAAACTCAATGTGTTTTATACTTATAGTCTGAAAATTCTAAGTTTCTCTTTGCGAAGTATTTCTTCTCTTCCAGTAAAACCAATTGGCAATTGAAATATTTTGTTGTGCCTTTGACTTATTATAAATTCCCTTATAAAGGAATGCTATATCTTATCATTCTTTAAAATTGTGCGACAATTATAGTATGAAATTACTGTTGCTATACTTTTAAAAGCGGTCATTTTCGTTATCGTGAGTGAATATTATTAGTGAATAGTACATATTAACATATATGTCATTGAAAGATTATATAAGGTAATGATCTCAATTATGGGTCGTGTTCTAATTATAGGTCAAACTTGCAAAATTACAACATTTTACAAATATACATGTATTAAATTACTAAAATTTTTCATATTTTTTATTCTTTTGTGATTATATTGTAATATAAAGTTACTTTCTCAATCATTATTAATATAAATTAAGAATATGTATAATGACAGAATATTAATTATTAATATTTAAGAAAAAAAGCGAAAAGTTACTTTAATTATTTAATAATATTTTTTTAATTTTATAATGCTCTTTAATAGTGGATTGTATTTAATCACACTATAACATTGCACAAATTAAAACAATTGTAATATTGTTTATTACTAACATAAATATTTAATTTTATATTAAAGAAATTTTACTGAATAACTTTTTAATGAAAAATTAACGTCGACTAAAATTTTGTAAGGGTTATCGGACTTTAATGACATATGTCAAGGTCATGGTCATTGGAGGGCTCCGTATCTTTACGGAGCCCTCCAATGTCGACTTTAATTAATAAATTGGTTGATTGTTGTTTCTTACGCGAGACAAAAAGTCTTACGTCCTGTGTATAATTGCTACACGGAATATAATAAATTTTATTTATTGGCAAAGTCTATCATTATCATTATTATTAGATGACTTTACAGTACTTTGATGATAAAAATTAAATAGATATACTATTGTGTATGTATATATGTATATTTCAGTTAAAGACCCTTATTTAGAGTCACAAATAGCAGAAAAATTCTAGTTGATCTGCTGCACTATTATTGTATTTTATTGACAAAATAAATATTAAAAATAAAAAAAAATAGAAATAATCTAATGAGTCAAATTAGATTTTAAGGGGATGCTAAACCGATTATCCAACTCAATCAAGGTCGACAGTACAGACTTTTCAATTCCAAATTCGATAATAGTGGTGACATCTTTGATTTAGTTTTTACATTATATTATATAATATATATCATTCTGTCTTACTCAAACGCATATATTTGTTCTTATTTAACATATGCCAGAACCATCTATCGCAAGACCACGCAACTACTGCTACACGGAATTTTGGCTCTGTTGACAGTCCCAATCTTCGTAAAACACCTGTATACACGTATTTTCTATTCGGTGGAAATATTTCTTTTCTAGACTTTCAATCTTAGTTCTACAAACTCGGTATCGTTCGTTTCAATAAGGTGATCTCAGCTGCACGCCTATTTTCAAGATATGGACTCTAAAACTCTTATATCAAGCAAATATATATCTGAGGTGACAGCTGTACAAGCCACAAGCAAGTGAATTTTTAACGAATCTGAAACTTTTTTCGATTTTCTCATGAAATCCAGTGCAGCTGAGATCCTGTTTGTGCCTACTTTAATTTAAATAATACTTTTGCAATCCATACATCCAATACAGAAATTTTTCACCGAATGGAAATGTGGTAAAACAGGAGGGTTTAGCATCGCCTTAAGGGAGAATTCTGGTTTAAAACCTTCACAAAAAATCGAAATTTTTTCATATTATTTATAGTAGAATCTGAAAAATGTGTTCTTTAAATACTATTTTGAAATTCAAAAATTGAAGTAGATACGAGGGGCACTACTTATATTTTGAGCCTTAGCAACACTGAGTGTTGTCAGGTGCCATCGGACGTTTCCACTAGAAAGTTTGACATTTTTGACCATAACTTTCTTGAGAACGTTTTGTTATTTGAGCGCGATTTGTATTGTTTACAGTTACTTGAAAATTGTGTCTCAGCGAAAAAATGGAATTAACTCGTGAAAATTTTCGTGCAATGATTTATTACGACTTTCGAC